ATCTATCTATCTATCTATCTATCTATCTATCTATCTATCTATCTATCTATCTATCTATCCATCCATCCATCCATCCATCCATCCATCTTCCATCTATTTCTCTCTCTCCTTAATCTTTTTTTTTATTGATTTTTATCGTAACTTGTTTGATTGTTGTGAGTCACCCAGAGTTGTTGAGAATCGGGCGGTATATAAGTTGAATAAATTATTATTATTATTTTATTTATTTATTTATATTTCAAATTTAGACACCGCCTATCTCACGAGTAAGTGACTCTGGGCAGCTTACAATAAAAACAATGAATAAATATTAGTTAAAATAGAATAAACATAGTATAAAAATACAATAAAACCAAATACATACATAAATATCTTCCAAGATGCTGGTGGTCAAAAAGATGCTAACATATGGGGGCATCTTCAAGGCGCTAGCTACCTCCAGGGTTGGTTGTCCCTTTTCTTGCCCCATGCCAGGTGGCAGAGCCAGGTCTTGACTACTTTCTGGAAAGTCTGGAGAGTAGGGGCCTCCTATCTCATGTGCTTTTCCTCTCTTTGGCTTACCATGGTTTTTTTTTTTTTTTAACAATTTATATACCATTAGAATCGTATGACTCGTGGCAGTTTACACAGCTACTCTGCTGAACTCATTGCACGTGGGGGCCAAAACATACATTTTAAGCTGTCTGTATGAATCAGGGAAAAAATCTTGGGGCTGCAGAGGGTACTTCAGCGAAGATGTCAATTCAGCATGTGAAGCTGTGAAAAAGACAAATTCCAGTCCAGGGATTATCAAAAAAGGAATTTGAAATAAAAGCATCCGGTATGCAGTAATCTGTTTCTGCATATGGAGTAAAGCGTGTGGAGATGGCTCTGTCTTCCCATGGCTGGACGTGCTCCTTGGGTGAGCAAGAAGCACTGTGGGCACCATGCTGCCGTTCCATAATTTGCACCATTTGAGCAACAGCATCATGACATGCATGACATTGTTGCACCAGCATATCTGCTTCAGGTGATCCGGATTCGAATTCTAAGTCAGCTGCGGGACGCTGCCTCTCAGCCTGAGCTAAGGCGGAGGACTGCTGGTAAGGATGAGATCTGCGCATCTGCTGAAAATAATAGACGATTTAGTATGTTCAAGGTAGGGTCCGATCTGCTGCTTGCACACCAGCCTACCTCAGCCTTGCAGCCCTCCAGATAGGCGGACTTCAGTTCCCAGAATTCTCCGCACTGGCCGTGCCAGCTATGGAATTCTGGGAGTGGAAGTCCATATCTCTGGAGGTCTCCAGATGCAGAAACTTAACGTGGTTTATTTGAACCTGGCAATCATTTAGTTTTCTAAAACGTGGTTTACAGCTGAGCTTGTCGCATAAACCCTGCCCACTTGCGGTCTATTCAGAAAACGAGAATAAACCATGGTTTGCTGTAACGGGCCACTGAAAGCAATGCCTGACCAGCCCCGCCAGGGCTTAGGCGAAGCTACCGCTCAGCGAACGGTGTCTGAGCAGCAGCGGAGAGGGCGAGGGCCCGTTCCCTCCTCGCCTGAGCTACCTCACAGGGTCGTTGTTGGAAAACCCGGCGGGAACGCTTCTGCAAAAGGGGGCTCGCAACGTACGCGCCCGGCTTCGGCTTTCGCCTCGCCCTGCACCGAGACCACGGGGCACGCTTGGGGGGAGGGAGAGGGAGAGGGAGAG